TTTTCATATTTTGGAGATATTTTTTTATTATTATCCCAAAATTAAAATTTTAAATGTTAGTGAAGATATCTCATGTTAGATAAAATTGATAGATAAAATTGAAAATTTTCTATCTAATTTGGACAATTTAAATTTAAATTATTTGTATTTTAAAAGGAAAAAATAACATGTTTTTTAATGTAAAAATATCAATAATAACATTAAGAAACAAGAGTTCATAATACAAAGGTAAGGAAAAAGTCGAAAGGACAGGTAGGTACGGAAAACTCATATGAAATATTAAGTTTGTGTTTGGATTAAAAATTTTACAACTGAGATTAGAAAAAGCTTGTGACTTTAACGTGACTTATATTTAAATATTTATTTTTTTAAAAGGTAGTTAGACAAACTAAAACTTGTTTAAATTATTAGATTTAAAAACTAATTGAGATGTATAATGACAAAAATGGATATAAGTTTTTTGTATATATTTGTGTGACTAATTTGATATTTTTAAGAAAAATATTAATCCTGAAATTACAATTTTTAAAAAGGTAGATTACAAATATAAAAAAATATAATTAAACTTTGTTTAGATAATATACTTCAAAAGCCAACTTAAGTGTACAATGATAAAAAAGAACATGAATTTTATTATATATATGTTGTTTGAATCATTTAATATGTTTAGGAAAAATAATAAACTTTTATGTATAACCTATATAAGGGTTTGAATTTTTGGATAAATATTTTTAAAATTTATTTTTTTAAAATATTGAACTTTAAATCATAAATTTTTTAAAAAGTTTCTATATTTTCATCAAACTTGATATTTTTCAAATATAAACTATTTTCCGGGAAAAAAAAAAGACTAGACTAATCTTCTGCGTTCATTTTCGTGCTTTTATGTCAATCATATACTTGTTAAAATCTTTAAAGGTTAGAAAACAGTAAAAAAATATTTTCTCAAAAAATTTTATTCAAAAGGCAGTTCAAATATATAATAAAAATGTACATGAATTTTTTTATATATACATATATATTTGTGATTAATTTAATATTTTTTTAAAAAATATTAAACTTAAAGTCAATAATTTTTTTAAAGAGTAGATTAAAAATAAGGGTGTGCTCAGGACAAACATGAAATCTGAATAAATCAAATTTACATTAAAGTGAAGAAGGCAGAGTAAAGAAGAGGTGATAGGGTGGAATGAGAGAATGAGGAGAGAGAAGCTAATAATTATTTTAATTATGCTAAAGCCCCACCAGCATTGCGCTGGTCAATATATTAGACGATGCGCCCTGCCCCCACAAAAGATGCAAAGAAAAAGGTCATTTTACTCCTCGTTGATGCATGGAAAGTAAGTAGTGAGAAGACTTTAATTTGTTTTACTTGACCCCACAAATTTAAAAAAACAGAGATGGCCTACAGAATAATAATAATAATAATAATAATAATAATAATAATAATTGAGAGTCATAATAATATAATATATCAATAATTCTCCTTACTTTATCATCCGTTTCTGTCCATGGCTCCTATGGTCTTATGTTTTTCATTCGGTTCTGGTTGAGAATTACGTTTAAACAAATAATTAGAAAACAAAATTTTAAAGGCTGAGATATTTTTTTTTTTTAATTTCTTGGTGAGTACGTTGATATTCAGTCCCTAATGTTTACACAGTTTGCTCCATCTCCGTCCCTGCAGTTAAAAAAAAAAAAAACAGCTTCAGTCCTGCATTAAATATTAGACGGGGCAAGGCATGGAATTAACGGTGTTAACTTTGTTCAAATGGCATCCTAATCATCAAGCAAGTGGGATTGAAGGATCTAAGGAGGAAGAAATCAAAGATTTCGTTCAACCCCATCGGTTGACTCATCGAACCACTTTTCTAGGGTGAGCGTTTTGGCAAGTGATTTTAGGAATGATTCATGAGTTAAAAACTTTAAAGGTGAAAATTAAGGCAGGCTTGACCTTTAAAGGTAAGATCTGATTTTGAGATTCGACTCTTATTTAAAGGGTTTAGAGCCAGACAGTTGAGCCTTTTTTTTCAAAAAATAAAATTAACATTTTAATTTAAACAAAATATTTTAAAATTCAACATAAAATTTGACAAAAATTTAAAATTTAAAATTTAAAATTTAAAATTTAAGATGAAAATTAAAATTTTTATCAATGTAAATCTAAATTCTTCTCCTCATTATCTAAAAATAAAATATTAAATTCCTCAGATATAGATTCACTTGTTGAAGATGGAGGTGGAGATTCAATATCAATTATCTCTACAACATCTTCTTCATTACCTACAATAAATATTAACTAAATTATATCATTATCAATTAAATATATGTATGTGTGTGTGTGTAAAATAATTAGGCTTATCAAGGCTTAAAGGGTTATCCAAGTCCGAGCCTTTTTTCACAGAACTTATCAGGGCCAAACCCTCAAGTCTGGTTACTTTAAAAAAACTAAATTTTAAAGTCCGAACTCTCATTTAAATATAGCCTCCAAACTCAGTTCTCTAGACTCAACTTTTATTCTCGGCTCTATTAAAAACTATGGGATTAGCCACTTGCTTGATGATTAGGATACAATCTGAGCAAAGTTGATGCCGTTAATTTGGGGCACTGCAACGTCCCCTCCCCTTGTTTGGTAAGGTGAAAATTTTTCTCTCCCCTCCCCTTCCCCTCCCCCCTCCTCCCCCCCCCTCCCTCCCCTCCTCTCCCCTCACCTCCCTTCCCCTCCATCCCCTCCCCTCCCTTTCACTCCCTTTGAACCAAACAGACCCTTATGAAGGACTAGAGCTATTATTTTCAACTATTGTGATGGAGCTAACAGTGTAAATATGAGGGACATGGTCGCGCCAAGTTAAATAATAGGGATTGAATTATAAACTTTTTAAAGTTATAAGGATAAAATAATTAATATTTCCTTTTTTAATCTAGTTTTAATATTTTTTGAATGAGAAAATTAATCATTTGTTTTCAATAATTTTGATCAAGTTGTAATTTAATCCTTAAACTTTAACTCATTATAATTTGATAGTTATAGTTTTTACTTGGTTATAACTTAATTTATGAATGTTAACTCTTACAACTTATTCTTTACAATTTTAGCTATTGAAAATATTAATTCCTATATTATAAAAAAGTAAAATTATAAATATTAAAATTATTTTAAAATTTTAATCTTTATAAGTATTAGAAGGGTTTAGTATCTTAAATTATTTTTCTTAAATTTTAATATGATTTTAATATTTATAAATTTATTTTTGCAATATATAAATAACTATTTTAAATAATTAAAGCTATAATTAGAGATTATATTGTAAGAATTAAAGTTTAAGAATTAAATTACAATAGAATTAAAATTATAAAAATTAAATTATAATAAATTAAAATTTAAAGATTAAATTAAAATTATAAAGATTACTTCCTTAATTTAAAAATATAAAATATGTTTTAAAGAGTTGGATGTTAAAAATGTAAGGAATTTTTAATCTTTTGAGATGTAATTATTGTTTTTTTTAAAAGTACTACTATTAATGAATAGCTTTCTATTTATTATTTAATAGAGATAAATATAAAAAAATAGAGTTAATTTAAAAGTAGATAAGTATTTTATTAAAATGTGAAATTTAATTTAAAATATTTTATATTTTTTAATAAGAGAAGTAAATTAAATTTATTTAAGTGAAAATATCAAACTTGCCTCAAAATGGTGTGGCCTCAATACACGTTAAACACGTCAGCTTTGTCCATGTGATGTGACGGAACAAGGTCCTTTTTTTCAGGGTATCTCTCTCCAATTGTGTTTCTCTCTCATTTGTCTTCTTATCATCTTCATTGTGACTGTGTTGTATTGCTACTCTCTACAGCTGTTCTTCTTCTCAACTTTGGTGTGGACTTGTGTATAATTTTTTAAAAAAATATTAGACATGATAGGGCAAGAAACTAACGGCGTTAACTTTGTTCAAATGGCATCTATCTAAAGCTGAAGAAATTGAAAATGTCGTTTAACCCTGTCGACTCATCGGAACACTATTTTGGGTGAGTGTTTTGGCTAGCGATTTTAAGAATGATTTATGAGTTGAAAAATATGAGATTAATCACTTGCCTGATGATTAAGATATAATCTGAGCAAAGTTGACGCCGTTAATTCCACGCATTGCGACAGTCTGATGTTTTGCGGAGGATTGGAGCTATTTTTTTTCTTTTTGTCTTTTTCCTACTGACGAGCTTTTTTTTTCAACTAGAGGGATGGAGCGAACGGTGTAAACAAGAGTAGCAACAAGTTAAATGATAGGGTTGAATTACAAGCTTAATAAAATTATAAGGAAGAAATAATTAATTTTTTTTAAATCCAATTCTAATATTTTTTAATTAAAAATATAATTATTTAGTTTCTATAATTTTAATTCAATTATAACTTAATTTTTAAGCTTTAATTTATTATAATTCAATATTTATAGTTTTAACTTAATTATAATTTAATCTATAAAATTTAACTTATATAACTCAATTTTTATAATTTTAACTATTTAAAATATTAATTTTTATATTATAAAAAACTAAAATTATAAATATTAAAACTATTTTAATATTTTAATATTTATGATCCTTATAAAGATGAGAAGAGTTTAATAACTTAAAATATTAATCCTAAATTTTAACATACTTTTAATATTTATAATTTTATTTTTTTATAATATATAGATTAATATTTTAAATAATTAAAATTATAAGAATTGAGATATAATAGTTAAATTTTAAAAATTAAATTAAAATCGAGTTGAAAATAAAAAAATTAAATTATAATATGTATAAATTTAAAGGTTAAATTATAATTAGATTAAAATTATAAATATTAAATGATTTTTTTTTTGATTTATTTGAATGGAAATATCAAACTCGACGGAAACACAGGAATAAAGCCACCACTAAATGGTGGGGCCTTGGTGCAGGTTAAACGCGCTAGCTTCGCCTGTGTGATGTGACAGACAAGCTCAATCACGATATGAGTTCCCTCTGCTTTTTTAAGAGAATCTCTCTTCAATTATGTGCCTCGCCCGTTTGTGTTCTTATCGTTTTCATCATTGTGCTATATTGCTATTCTACACAGCTGTTCTTCTTCTTTGGTGCTTCTCACTCAATTATCACTCTGCTTCTTTTCGAGCACGCTACTCCTAGTAAGTCTCTCTCCATTTTTGTTCCCTCTCTCTCTCTGTCATATTTATGTCTTTCTGTTACTGATTCTCGTTAGGCTCATCAGTGATCTCATATGCCACATCCAATTTCTTTGCTTCCAAACATGGACGCTTCTCAGGCGGTTTCAGGTATAATAAATCAGACCCTTCTTTCTTTCGCTCCTTAAATATTCCTTCATAATTGATTTTTCTTAAAATCATTATTTTTTTGCTTTTTTTTTCTCTTACAAGATAAATGAGAAGATCTGTCATTAATGGGAAGATTTGAATTGCTTAAATCTTATTTGGAATGGTTGTTGCAAGATTTCATTTTGGTTTCTTATTGAAGTTACTTTATTAAATAAGGAAACTTTTTAAATACCTGAATAAAATAAGAGAACTGAAATTTTATACAAATTGAATGAATAAAATATTGTACAGTTTGTCTTATTATTATTATTATTATTATTATTATTATTATTATTATTATGATGGGTCACACTTAGCTTATTTATATAAGTTACTTCAAATTAAAAGTATCTTGTTCCCCTAATTGCTTTTGTTAATCAAATTTCACAAAATAAAAATGAAAATGGAAAAAGTGGTAGGTTAGTTATTTCACTATCGATCTCATATTTGTTATCTTTCCTGAAGTTTCTTTCTTATTACAATTTGTGTGCGGTGATATCTCCATGCATGTTCATGGCAGATTGGCTTCTCCAGTTTCCTTACTTCCAAGTAGTTGGCTAACTTGAATTGTATGCAGACCATTTTGAGGTAAAGTGTGATCTTATTTCTTTAAAGCATCGTTTTATTCATTGAAAAATTACAAAAAGACCATATATAAAAAACTTATTTACAAATAAATTCTATAAATTTTTAAATAATTACTCAAGTGCCATAGGACTTGGTTATATAAAATTAATTTACCATGTAAAATAATACAAATGCTCTTAGATTGACTCCTATCCTTTGATTGGCCTTGACCGACCACTGTCGATTTTTGATTTTGCAAATCTACAAGTTAAACAACTTAATTTATAAATCTAAGTTGTAAATTTTCAAATTTTAATTTGTAAATATTAAAATATTAATATTATAAGAGATTGACATGTAAATATAAAAAATTTTATTTGTAAATATTGAATATTTACTTGATGTTTATCTTATAAACTTTGAATTATTGATATTTTAATAAAAAATACTTTTGACTGGTCAAGAACCACTGGCCACCAATCAATGATAACCAATGGTCAATCAAACGTTAATCAAAAGAATGAAAGTTTAAAGGCATTTGTGTCATTTTACTTGATAAATTAATTACAATCAAATTTTATGGAACTTGAATGTATTTTCAAAATTTATAAGATTTATTTGTAAAAAGTTTCTTATATCAGACTTGTTTGTAACTTTCCTTTTGTTAAATTTCAAATGCTAATCTTATTTATAAGGTCTTTTTACAAAATTAAAAAGTGGTTCTAATTATAATGTGTCAAATAAAAAGATGAAATAATCTTTCAATTTTATCTTTTAACTTGAAAAACTATTTCCACAAATAAAAATGTTATTCATGATCTTCCTTTAACTAATAAGAATATAATTGGAAATTTGAGATATTTTCTAACAAATAAAGTAACATGCTTTCTTGATCCAGTCCTAATTACAAGGAAAGATTTTAATGTTTTATTTGATATTAAATGCAAGATAAAGATTGTCTAAACCTAACCGAAAATTAGGCCAAGCAAGTCTCCTTGAAGTTGTTCTGCTTTCTATGTTCAAAATTCAGTAGAAATAGAAAGAGGAGCCCCAAGATTAGTCATAAACTATAAACCTTTAAATAAAGTTTTGAAATGGATTAGATATCCTATTCCTAATAAAAAAGATTTATTAGGAAGATTATCTAATGCATCTATATTCTCAAAATTTGACATGAAGTCAGGATATTATCAAATTCAAATAAGCAAAAAAGATAGATATAAAACTACTTTTACAGTCCCTTTTGGTCATTACGAATGGAACGTAATGTCATTTGGATTAAAAAATGCTCCTTCAGAATTTCAGCAAATAATGAATGATATTTTTAATCCTTTTAGTAAATTTACAATTGTTTATATTGATGATGTTTTAGTATTCTCCAATTTTATTGAAGATCACTTTAAACATTTAAATCAATTTTTTGATATTGTTAAGAAAAATGGTTTAGTTGTTTCTGCTCGTAAAATGAAATTATTTCAAGTAAGAATAAAATTTCTTGGTATGGAAATTTATCAAGGAAGTCTTAAGCCAACCAGCAGAGTCATAGAATTTGCTGATAAATTCCCTGATAAAATAATAGATAAAAATCAATTGCAAAGATTTTTAGGATGTCTTAATTATGTAGCGGATTTCTTGTTGCAAATTAGGACAATAATTGCCCCACTCTTTAAGAGATTGCAAAGGAATCCACCAAACTGGTCGAATAATATGACAAAGATAGTACAACAAGTAAAAATCCAAGTTAAAAGTTTACCCTGTTTAGGAATAGCTAACCCTTTAGCTTTTAAGATAGTGGAAACTGATGCGTTTGAAATAGGATATGGAGGAATCCTGAAACAGTTAGAACAAGAAAAAGAAAAAATAGTGAGATTCCACTCTGGAGTATGGACAAAGGCTCAACAGCAATATTCCACCATAAAGAAAGAAATTTTATCAATTGTTTTATGTATTTCAAAATTTCAAGAAGATTTAATAAAGCAAATTTTTTTGATAAAAGTTAATTGTAAAGCGGCTAAAGATGTTTAAAAAAAAGATGTCAAAAACTTTGTGTCAAAACAGATTTTTGCCAGATGGCAAGCTATTTTATTTTGCTTTGATTTCAAAATACAATTTATTAAAGGAAAAGAAAATTCTTTACCCGATTTTTTAACAAGAGAATTTTTACAGGGAAAATTAAAAGATGAATAAAAAGGATAAAGGAAAGGGTAAAGCTACAACACAGCCAATCATTCCTCAAAAGCTAGATAGACCAATGAAAATAGGAGATTATGTATCAGATAACTCTTCTAAACCACAGACATATGATCAAGCCGTAAGCTCAAAAATAAGCCCTTCTTCAAAGAAAACAGAATTCAGCCAATATGTTCCAAAAGAATTCATAATGAATGTATGCCCTGTTGAACCCGAATTCAGAAAGCAAAATATAGCTGATACGATTCAAGCCATTTTTCCTCCCCTTCCAATTGAAGAAATTTGGAATTTTATTCCACAAAACCCAAGAAAAGACAGAATATATTATGAATATATTCTTGTAGCCACAAATTCCATAAGTATAACACACAAGGAGTTTGAAGGAAATCCATACAGTCAGATAAAAATATTACAAGTCCTTACTCCCACCACTTGAGGGTATTCTCCTTATACAACAAAAAATTTTCCTGAAAATTATAAGGATCAGGTTTATAATTATTTTGATTATAAAGAAGCCTGGTTCAATGTTTTGTATTATAAGAATTATAATCACTCCTGGTTTTTCTTGTTCGAACCAAAAGTGTCCAAATACTTTTCCAAAATGGTTCCTTGAATTTTCATATTTTCGGACCAGTTAAGAAAATACTACCCGAAATTGTTGAAGAAGGCTATAATCATTTCAGAGAAAATTCAAATCTCAAGGAAACAGAAAAACCCTTTTGGTTTTTCTACTATATGAGAGTATCATGGATCATGAGTTGGTGCTTTTCTGTATTGGATTAAAGGCAGCTCTGTCCTACCATATTTTACCTTGTAAGGACATTTAAGGTAAAATGATAGGATAAATATATTCAAAATTTTGCGAGCAAAGAAGCAGTTATAAGAAAAATACAAGGATTATTGAAAAGAGTTACACATGAAGTAAAGCAGAAAGCTGAAGAGTCAACATCATTTCAAACAGAGAAAAATAGATTAATGACACAACTGACAGCAGCAAAAACAAGAGAAGAATGGGCCTCGTTAATCAATGATGCAGCCTCCCAAGTAGCGTCAGATGTAGGGTCATCCATTCAACAATTAGAAACAGAGGAAGAGAAAAATATAGAACAAGACATTTGTGGAGCCGATTTTGAAGATTTTCAATTAGTGGTTCATAAAAAGAAATAGAAATCAGTGTCATGTTCTGCCAAAAGAAGAAAGCAAAAAAGGATTATGAATAAAATAATCAGACAGGCTATCATGAGAAAACTAAAGTGGAAACAAGATCGAAGAAATTTATTGCATAAAGACAAAAAGAAAAATGGGAACAAGAAAAGGAAAGAAAAAAGCTGAAGCATTTATGGTCTGACAGGGAAAAAGTAAAGTCACGGGGTAAGGTTTAGTAACCGAACCCTAACCATTATAAATAATCTAAGGTTTAGATAAACTAGAGTTCGTAATTCCTCTATAAATTTCGTTTCTCTTTCAGTTTATAGGTATCAGGTTCTTTTGTGTGCTTTTCTCCTCTTCTTCCTTATCTTCTAAATTTCACAATCTTCCTACTCCTGTACTCCTTCCTTCATTTCATTAGAAGCATACCCGCTGTACCCTTCTGTTTAATAATATTGTGAAGTTTTATTTTATGATTGTGTTTTGTTTTGCTATATCGATCTGTTTGGGCCGAACCGCTCTTTTGGTATCAGAGCCATTGTTCATTTTTATTTGTCTATTTATTTGTTTAAACTATTTTATTATACAGTTTTACTTCTTTTCTGGTGGAAACGTTGGAAAGCCTAAGAGCCCGTACCTGACAGTGAGTGTAAGTCCGTTGGATTAGGCAGTGGTGTTCCTGTCAAACTTAGAAAAGTAAAAATAGTAGGATTAGAAACAGTTGAAACAAATTTATGGATTGGTTTAAAAAGATAATTGGATCTGATTCAAAAGTAGTAATTGAATAATAGATAAAACTAAACAGGGGGTATGCTTACAATGAAATGAAGGAAGGAGTACAGGAGTAGGAAGACTCTGAAATTTAGAAGATAAGGAAGAAGAGGAGAAAAGCACACAAAAGAAGTTGATGTTCACATCATCCTTTATCCTTATAAACTGAAAGAGAAGTGGAATTTATAGAGGAATTTCGAACTCTAGTTTATCTAAACCTTAGATTATTTACAATGGTTAGGGTTCGGTTACTAAACCTTACCCTGTGACTTTACTTTTTCCCTGTCAGACCATAAATGCTTCAGCTTTTTTCTTTCCTTTTCTTGTTCCCATTTTTTTTTGTCTTTATGCAATAAATTTCTTCGGTCTTGTTTCCACTTTAGCTTTCTCGTGATAGCCTGTCTGATTATTTTATTCATAATCCTTTTTTGCTTTCCTCTTTCGGCAGAACATGACATTGTTGCTATTTCTTTTTATGAACCACTAATTGAAAGTCTTCAAAATCGGCTCCATAAATGTCTTGTTCTATATTTGTCTCTTCCTCTGTTTCTAATTGTTGAGTGGATGACCCTACATCTGACGCTACTTGGGAGGCTGCATCATTGATTAACGAGGCCCATTCTTCTCTTGTTTTTGCTGCTGCCAGTTGTCATTAATCTATTTTTCTTTGTTTGAAATGATGTTGACTCTTCAGCTTTCTGCTTTACTTCATATGTAACTCTTTTCAATAATCCTTGTATTTTTCTTATAACTGCTTCTTTGCTAGCAAAATTTTGAATATATTTATCCCACCATTTTACCTTAAATGTCCTTACAAGGTAAAATATGGTAGGATAGAGCTGTCTTTGATCCATTACAGAAAAGCACCAACTTATGATCCATGGTACTCTCATATAGTGGAAAAACCAAAAGGGTTTTTCTGTTTCCTTGAGATTTGAATTTTCTCTGAAATGATTATAGCCTTCTTCAACAATTTCGGGTAGTATTTTCTTAACTGGTCCGAAAATATGAAAATTCAAGGAACCATTTTGGAAAAGTATTTGGACACTTTTGGTTGAACCAGAAAAACCAGGAGTGATTATAATTCTTATAATACAAAACATTGAACCAGGCTTCTTTATAATCAAAATAATTATAAACCTGATCCTTATAATTTTCAGGAAAATTTTTTGCTGTATAAGGTGAATACCCCCAAGTGGTGGGAGTAAGGACTTGTAATATTTTTATCTGACTGTATGGATTTCCTTCAGACTCCTTGTGTGTTATACTTATGGAATTTGTGGCTACCAGAATATATTCATAATATATTTTGTCTTTTCTTGGGTTTTGTGGAATAAAATTCCAAATTTCTTCAATTGGAAGGGGAGGAAAAATGGCTTGAATCGTATCAGTTATATTTTGCTTTCTGAATTCAGGTTCAACAGGGCATACATTCATTATGAATTCTTTTGGAACATATTGGCTGAATTCTATTTTCTTTGAAGAAGGGCTTATTTTTGAGCTTACAGCTTGATCATATGTCTGTGGTTTAGAAGATTTATCTGATACCTAATCTCCCATTTTCATTGGTCTGTCTAGCTTTTGAGGAGTGTTTGGCTATATTGTAGCTTTACCTTTTCCTTTATCCTTCTTATTCATCTTTTAATTTTCTCTGTAAAAATTCTCTTGTTAAAAAATCGGGTAAAGAATTTTCTTTTCCTTTAATAAATTGTATTTTGAAATCAAAGCAAGATAAAATAGCTTGCCATCTGGTAAAAATCTGTTTTGACACAAGATTTTTAACATCTTTTTTTAAAACATCTTTAGCCGCTTTATAATCAACTTTTATCAAAAAATTTTGATTTATTAAATCTTCTTGAAATTTTAAAATTTATAAAACAATTGATAAAATTTCTTTTTTTATGGTGGAATATTGTTGTTGAGCCTTTGTCCATACTCCAGAGTGGAATCTCACTATTTTTTCTTTTTCTTGTTCTAACTGTTTCAGGATTCCTCCATATCTTATTTCAGACGCATCAGTTTTCACTATCTTAAAAGCTAAAGGGTTAGCTATTCCTAAACAGGGTAAACTTTTAACTTGGATTTTTACTTGTACTATCTTTGTCATATTATTCGACGAGTTTGGTGGATTCCTTTGCAATTTCTTAAAGAGTGGGGCAATTATTGTCCTAATTTGCAGCAAAAAATTCGCTACATAATTAAGACATCCTAAAAATCTTTGCAATTGATTTTTATCTATTATTTTATCAGGGAATTTATCAGCAAATTCTATGACTCTGCTGGTTGGCTTTAGACTTCCTTGATAAATTTCCATACCAAGAAATTTTATTCTTACTTGAAATAATTTCATTTTACGAGCAGAAACAACTAAACCATTTTTCTTAACAATATCAAAAAATTAATTTAAATGTTTAAAGTGATCTTCAATAGAATTGGAGAACACTAAAATATCATCAATATAAAAAATTGTAAATTTACTAAAAGGATTAGAAATATCATTCATTATTTGCTGAAATTCTGAAGGAGCATTTTTTAATCCAAATAGCATTACGTTCCATTCGTAATTGACCAAAAGGGACTGTAAAAGCAGTTTTATATCTATCTTTTTCGCTTATTTGAATTTGATAATATCCTGACTTCATCTCAAATTTTGAGAATATAGATGCATTAGATAATCTTCCTAATAAATCTTTTTTAATTAGGAATAGGATATCTAATCCATTTTAAAACTTTATTTGAAGGTTTATAGTTTATGACTAATCTTAGGGCTCCTCTTTCTATTTCTGCTGAATTTTGAACATAGAAAGCATAACAACTCCAAGGAGACTTACTTTGCCCGATTAATTTTTTTCTCAAGAAGCTATTGAATTTCTTGTTTACAGTATTCAAGCAGTTCTTGATTCATTTGTATTGGTCTAGCTTTGGTGGGAATTTGTTTTTCATTAAATTTCTCTTCGTAAGGTAATTCAATAGTATGTTTTTTACGATTCCAAAAAGTATTGGGATGCTCAGAACAAATTTCCTTCTCAAATTCTTTTGTAAGAATATCAATCCTTTGTTGGATTTAAGAATTTTTTATTTGTTCTTCTATTCTCTTATAATGAATTTCTTTATTAATGAAATTTATTTGATTTTGTTTTCTCTTAATAGTATTAATCCTAAATATAGATTCTTGTTTTAGCATTTTAATCTCTTTACTAATTTGAGGACTAATCCATTTAAAAATTATTTTCTTTCTAGCTATCTTAGTAATTATACCTTCTATTCCAACTTTAAAAGGTATAATTTGTTCTAAAAAAGGAGTTCCTAAAATAGCAGGTTCACTTAAGGTTTTTACTAACATGAATATGTTTTTAAAACATATTCCTTGATTGCATATATGCGCATTTGTTAATTTATATTTTATATCAAGATGAGAATTATTTGCTGTTTCAATTTTTTCATAAATTTTCTCATAATATTTAGTAGGAATTAATATAATCCTTCTTGAATGCAATTCATATCTGCACCAGAATCAACTAAAGCTACAATAGTTTTAGTAAATTCTTGGTTTATAACTATACCAACTTGGTAATACCATTTTCTATAAGTTATTTGAGATATTATATTAATACATCTATCTTGATTAATTTCTGTTGAGGTTTCATTAATATCTTCACTATTTTTCTCTATTTCAGGATTTTCAATTAAAGCCTTTATTTGTAATATTTCATTATCTCTCTGTATTTCATTATTTTTTAATTCTTTAATCTCTTGCTTAATATTTCTAATTTCTTCCTATAATTGTTTTACTCCTACAGTTTTATTATAAGAGTTATCAAATCTTTTTATTATTTTATTTATACTAAGAGGTTCAAATGTATAATCTAAATTATTTTTATCTTCCCTATCAATAATATCCTTTATTTTTAATAAATATTGGTTTTTTATGTTTTCATCCTGAATTTTATCTATTATTTCGATTAAAAATTTTAAATTTTCTTTGTCTAGGATATTTATTTGTAATTTTTCTGAACAATTACAAATTTTTTTCTAATTCTTCTTCTTCTTCTTCTTCTTCAAGAATTATCATTAATATTAATATTAAAATTTTTTTCTAATTCTTCTTCTTCTTCTTCTTCTTCAGAGATTTCTGGATTAGATTCAGAAGATTCAGAATAATTATTTTCTAACATTATCCTAAGCAAATTTTGTTTATTTTCTTCACTGATTTGAAGTTTTCTATTTTTTTTTCCATTTTACATTTAGACACATAATGTCCAAATCTTCCACATTTATAACAAACAATATCTTTATCTTTTTTATTTGGGTTTTATTTTTCTTATAGGATTTATATTTTTTATTTTTCGGAAAGTGTTTATATTTTTTCTTTCTATTTTTGTAATAGAAGGGTTTATCTAAGGATTTATAATGCTTTTTTCTTTTTCTTATTGAAGGAGCTTGAATTTTTTCAAAAACATATTGTTCACAAAAATCTCCTAATTCAAGCTTTTCTTGTTTAGTTTCATTATAAATTTTCTCTTGCATTTTTATATCATTACATAATTTTAATCCTGTAATATTAATAATTTGTATTATTTCTCCTTATGTTAAGGCATTATAATCTATAGCTCCTAATCCTTGTCTTTGTTTTATTTCATTTTTTACTTTTTCAGCAAAGAGCTTCGGTAAGCCAGAAATAAATTTTTCTTTCCAGATTTCCGAATTAGCATCTTGTCTTTGAAAAAGTTTGGGTATAAAATTATCTTTATACCATCTGAAATCTGCAAGGGTTGGACATCGCAGATTCATTAGTTCAGTTAAATATTTTTCTTGTATTCTTGTTGGTTCTCCTACAAAATGTTTTATTATAGCATATATAAGTTGAGCAATATTATCTAAATAAGTGGTTTGAACTTCTCCTTCTATTTTTACTGAATGCCAAGTTTTTACTTGATGTCTTTCGATTTTTGTGAGAACATTTTCCCACCAACCTTTTAGACTTCCAGTAAAACCTTGTGTTATTAATTCAAATATATTATTATCTTGAAGTTTATTTATCCGATAAGCTGCTACAGCCATAACTATCTCTTGGGCTATATTCATTATTTCATATTCACTTAATCCATCTATGTTCCACTCATATATGGAAGATCCATCATAATGAGATGCAGACATAGTAGATCTTTCTTCAAATTGAAGATTCGGAAGAGTTGGTCTCGGACAATAACTTTTTATGTTCTTATATTTGGGTTTCGGGTTAAATTTTACTTTATTTACCAACATTGTTTCCTCTTCTTTTCTTATAACATTTATTCTATCCTTAATATTTAGTACTTCTAATTTTTTACGAATTTCTTTTAAAATATCTATGTTTTGTTTATCTCTTACTTCCCATTTTCCTAAGGTTATTGTTTTAGCTTGTTCAGAGGAAATTGTTTCATATTTAAATATTGGTCGTTGAGGGTCAACAGTTTTGATTTCTGGACTATTTTGTATTGAAGAATTATCTAATCTATCTTCTATTCTATTTAATTGTTGTCCTATAGTTTGAATTGCTATGTTTGAATAGTTGTTCTCTTGAACTATTTTTTGTAACTCTTTATTTTCTTGGGGATTAACTAATTTTAATGGTGAGGCTATAACACTTGTTTCTCCTATTTTATATGTGATTTCTTCTAAAGGAGGGTGAATAGACGTAACAGAATTGTTATTTTCACATGTCCAATTTTTTGTTCTTATTGAAGTCATATTTACGGATGGGTGATTGTTCTGACTAAAAGGATTAAATATTTGGTTATTATAGGTATATTTTTCTAACCATATAAAAAAGTCTATATGTTCTCTAAGTTGTATAAGTTCTCTATAATATTCTTGTTTTATTTCTTCTAGTTTTTCTTCATCAAAGGTCTTAAAATACCAATTTCTTTTTTCTTTATTTTGTGAGGACATAAACATTTTTCTAAGAATATCTTTATTTAATTCAAAACCTTCTTTCCTAATTACCATTAAAGAATGATATTCTGTTGAAGGTTTAAATTCTCTTTCTATTTGTGATTGAGTTTCTCATTCTATGTTCTCTGTTCGGTTGTTTGGTGATTCTCTAACTTTAGAAGGTTCAGCTATATAAATAGGTCTAGGAATGTTTGGTGTGAAATCTACTCCTTGTAATTTATAATTTATACTAGAATTATCTAAAGAAGTTCTGGGTATACTTATAGGAATGTTTTCTTTTATTTTTAAAGAGGTAGATCTATTTAATATTTCATAGGTAACATCTCTTTCAGATGTAGTTATTATCTCCTTTAATTTTCCTTTTCTATTGGGGTTGGTTTGGTGAGTTTTGGGAAAATCCATTTATCTGGAATTTGTATTTCATTATGTTTTATTTTCTTAGGTATGATAACCGAAGTTTTGGAAGGGTCTCCTCTTTCTATCAACATAGTTTCTCCTTTTGGGCTTTCTTTTTTAGCTTTAAAGTTTTGGTGGGTTTTTTGTATTTTAAATATTATCTTATACTGTACTACCATATAAGTAGTACCTTTAGCCCAAGTTCCTTTACTTTCTATTTCCATTACTAAGGCTTCTCGGCAATTATTATCTTTTAATCTAGTAACATAATTTGGAAAACAATCAAAATAGATTGGTCCTTCAAATAAATTTGACTGTATAATTCCTACTATTGATTTTTGAAAATCTTTTTCTTGTCTTCTATCCCTTAGACAAATAAATATAGGTTCGTCTAAACCTAACCAAAAATTTGAGATATTTTCTAACAAATAGAGTAACATTCTTTCTTGATCCAGTCCTAATTACAAGGAAAGATTTTAAAGTTTTATTTGATATTAAATGCAAGATAAAGATGTAGTAGTTAATTTTTTTTTTTCAATATTGTTCCTCCTTAATTGCACAAAGTTGTAATTTCAAGATAAATTTTATTGTGGTCATTAATTTTAATGAAGAGTAAAATTAAAAAGTTATATTTTTACAAGTTTAAGAATATTAATTATCATTCTTTAAGAATTGTGAGTTTGGTTAATTTTGTCTTATAATTAGGGTTGATGAGAGAAATAACTTTTCTTAAAATACATTAAAAAAATTCAAATTAAACGCCTTATAAATTAGATTGGGAGAGTATCAAATTTGGCTTGGGCTTTACGCTTACTTAGGACTAACGATGCATGCTTATTTAACATCAGTTAATTAATGGGTTGAGTCAAATAATTGTTATAGAACATGAAATTGATATTTTCCTGAAAGGTACTTTTAAATAAGCATTCCTAATTTTTTTTTCTGCCACTGTGTACCCTCAATGGAATTTATTCATTAAATTTCAAAAAATAAAGAATGAAAAAAATATTAAAATAGAGATATACTTCCACCAAATCACAATATATATCATTGTTAATTAATTCACGGTTTATCAAAATTGTTATTTGAAACCCTGATTTCTTAAAAATATTCACATCCTTTCATTTATGTTCCTTCAAGATTCCTAGTAACACATGGATCGTCATTAAATAAGGAAATTTAAAGACAATGAATAAAAAAAAAAAGCAAGGGCATCAATGGAAAGAAAATATAAAATATACCAAATGCTTATATTTTAAATTAAGTAATGCTTCTAGAAAGTAATTTACACTGTGTTCTAAAGGGATTAGCGAGTCATTACATCATCTCATGTTGGTGCATCATACTAAGTTTTCTCCAATTTTTTTTTTTTTTGGTAGTTTATGTGCAGGTTCTTTAAATTTATGGGAGATTGGCTTCACTCGTATTCCGATGTACTTTCTTTGCTTCCAAATAGTTGAATTTCTTCAGGTCCAGAAATAAATTTAATTGCACGTTATTTTGAGGTAAAGTGTGATCGCATTTGCTTATAGCATTTATAAAATTATGAATTTTGATCTATGGTTATATATGGCTTTCAATTTTGAACTATTTTTTATTGGGGAGGTCAGTTAAAAAAATTATGATAAAAACAAATTGAAATTAATTCTTATCATCCAAAATTACTACTAAATTTTACGAGAATTGCTATTCCTATTATATTTTAAAAGTTAGTAGTATTTTTTTAAGAAAAATAATAACTGATTTTTCTTGAAAAGCAAGCAAGCTTTACAATTTTAAGCGGCATTATAATACATACATACATACATACATACATACATATATATTGTCTAATACTTTAAAGTTCTAAAATATTATTACTATATTAAAGAAATAGCAATAGTAACCGTAACCGTAATGATGAGAATTTAAATTCAGTAAGAGGTCTAAGAACTCTTACTCAGTGAACGTGGAACGTTCCACCAGCCATTAAAAGACTCGTTCCGCCCATGCCTTCCCTCCCTCTCTACCATATCACCCAAATACATGAAAATGCTGAGATGATATATATATAGAAGAAATAAATTTTGAAGAAGGTAATAGAGTTGCTGAAATAATGTTAAGAAATTATTATTATAAACCCAGAAGAAAAATAAATAAAAATCAGCAGCAACAAAAAATGAATATAAATATGGCTAAAACTATAGAAGAAATTAGTGAAATAGAATTTAGTGAAACAGACCAATAAAATGAAAAATGAATTACAACAATTAGAAGAAATAATGGAAATAGAAGAACAAGAAAAAAATAAAAGAGTTAAAAAAAGAATATCAACATTTGATAAAAGATAATTATGAAGAAGCTTATATAAATATGCAAAATTGAAAGCTATATACTGTGATGGTTTGAAGGAGGAAGTCCTGTGAAAGGTTGAAAGTTGGATTGAGAGACTTCTAACTTGATAATTCTCTGTATGTAAGAGAACAGAAAGCCTTTACATGTTCTTCTGTGACCCAGATCATTATTGGTCAAACCCTGTGGTAATACATAATTAGCTAGTTCAGTTATGGTATCAAAGCTTGTGTTATAATGATGTTTAAAGGAAGATAATATGAACTTCTTAATTTCTAATGTTTATGTTTGTTAAATTTCTCAGCTATCTGTGTTTATTATTTGCTTTATGATTATTGAATTATATATATATATATATATATATAACCATGAGATCTAATATTTCAGGAACTAAAGGTTATTCAAAATACACATGCAAACCATGGTCGAGAATTAAGGTACTTTCGTCAATCTCTTAGTCCAAAATTCTCTTTTCATCGATAAATTGATCATAGAACAACACCAGGTTTTAAGGGTATACAAGCATGCTAACCAGATTTTAAAAAATTAAATCAACATCAAGTTCAATTCCACCTTTCAACACAAGCCCTCAATAGACAACAGCTGCATGTCTCAAAAAAATAAAAATAAATGAACATCAAATTAATAAAAACATAAAAAACGGCTTCAACAAAGTTATTTAATGATTACTCAACTCATGATTTTTAAGCGTATGAAAGATAAATCAAAGTTACCACACTCCTTAGCTTGAATGCTCTCATGTGTTAGTCACCTTTCACAAATAATGTAAATCTACATAATTTATGACAATTCGCTTCTATTAAACGTTAAAGGAGTCCATTCAAGCTAACTTCAGAAATTCAACTTCCCAAATCTCACTTCTAGGATTAATTCACTCTACCCAAACCAAATTCCACCAATCTCTAATCTAACTAGCCAGTGGCAAAGCCAGGACTTTTAAGTTATGGAGGAAATTTTCTTTTAAAAATTTAATAGTTTTAAAAGTAATTTAATAATTAAAAGATAAATTATATAGATTTATTATATTACTGAATTTTGAGGTAAAAAGGTTGAAAAATTTGGACTCAAGTTTAGAAAAGTATTTTATTGTGTGGAGATTTTAAAATACAAAAATGTGTATTTGGTTAAAATAATAAAAAAATTTATTACATATTTGTTTTTTGATTTTATGAAATATTTATATATCATTCATAAAAATAATTTATGATGTATTTGTAAATTCTATGATATTTTCTGGCAACTCTATATTTTTTTTAAAAAAATATTACTTGTCCACCCATATCTAATTATTTTTAAAAACTCAGCTTCGTAAAATAAATCTACAATATATATATATATATATATTCAGCTTCTGATTATTTAAAAAAAAATTAAGCAACGTGATAAAATTTTTCAAAAATAAGTGATTTTTCGGTTAAAAATACTTAAACAAATGCATTCTAATTCGCATATGTGTAGTCAGTTATTTTTCTGTTTCATATTTATGTGTGATTTATTGCAATCGATCAAGCATACTTACAAAGTTGATAAATGATTTGCTTTAGTTGGTTCGTGTTTGAATTATTCATTTTAGTTCTTTCTTCGTTGATTGTAGATTATTAAAATGAATATATTAAAATGAGAAAAGAAAACGAGTTTGGGTAAAGAGAGGGGTATTTTTTTTTTTTTGGGACCAAAGAGAGAGAAAGATTTTCCTACATGAATCATGAATGCATCATTCAATAATATTAAAATCTTAAAAATGTTATTGCAAGTTTTGATTGCGGGTGTGCATGGGACCAAAGTGGACGGGATTGGGATGGCCTTATCCCATGTCCTGTCTTGAAATGTAATCAAAATTGGATTTTAATCCTATATCTTGTCCCATCTAGGATTAGGAAATCCTAGTAAAAGAAAGATAAAATAATGAGAATTTTTATACATTTAGCATAAAATATAAAAAAAATTATTCATTTAATCTTTCAACTTCCAATTCTTCTCAAATCTGGCTCTTTGAGTTCATGTAATCCTTACTCTATGTTTATTAGTCCTATAAGCTATTCAGATGACCATAACATCCTCCTAACTCTTTCATTCATCAATTTTTTTCCATTTCTAACCTGATTCTTTAAGCTAATTTGAGTATAAACCCTTAAAGTTCAACCAATAAACTTCAAACCAATCGCAACACCCAAGAGTTCTTTTAAACCTTTTCCTTAAGTTCTCACTCTTTAAAACTTCCTGATTTAGTTTTTCTATTGATCAAACTTAAAGAAATTAGGGTAGAAACGTAGCACAGGGCGGTACGAAACTTACCTAACAAGTCACTCACCGAAGCAAACTCTAAAACTCTTGATAATTAAAGCCTTAGCAAAGATGAGCTTCCTTTCCTCTCCTTTGTGCGTTTTTCTTACTTTCTCCTCTTATTTTCACAAGCTAAGCATGTCAGCTTTAAGCAAAATCTGTGCCATATGTCGCGAGGTGTAACCTCCGCCTATATCAACTAGATACAGGAGAAGATTAACAAAATTACCATATCAAATACATCAATCAGTAATCAAATATTTTGTTTGAAAAGTTTGGACCTAAGACTTGATTGCAAAACTATTGGAATCACAACACATTTAGGCAATACAACGGAAGCAAATAACATGCATTTATAACCCTAATTACATGTATTTCAAATTACAAAATCAGGTCAGACTAGGGGCCATGCACCGCGGCATGCTATATATGCATTGTGGCATGTGGCAAAAGCCACACGCTTGACTTTCTATGTCATGTGCGGCGGCATGAGACACCATGAGCCACGTCACATCAGTCTAAATTTGCTAGTGTCATTTGACAACAGAAATAGAGAATTTTTGGTGTCTGTCATTTTCACATACAACATCCAATTGGAGTAATTCAAGCATCCATATGAAGTTTATCTCATCAGCTAGCTAATGAGAGAGGTTCCCGAGCATAAAAATTTACTTTTTACAAAAATTTCACACACTCAAGTGCTCAAATCATTCCCATTATCTCATTAGACTACATAAGGCCTTGAACTTAGTCCAAAAGAACCTATTATACCTGATTGACTACATTTCATCACATATATACATGTATATCAAAATTTGGCCATTCAATAGTCCATTTTTATGTTTCATAAAATCTCACCACTAAACACATTTTGGCCTATTTGGCCTTTTCTCACCACAAATTCTTTCCATTCACTATTGTCACATTTACCACATCATCCCAACTCAATCTTAACCACAAACTACTCATTTCCTCATAATTTCACACATGGGCTAAGATTCACCAAACTTAACATTCAATAATTTATAACCATTTAAATCATGCATGCAACCCTACGGCAACTTATCTATATATATTTACAAGTTTTTGATTCATTACACATACTCTGAGTTCACATGGCTTCAACAACTCTTAGCCGGTCTTAACTCTTTTCGTTTATCTTGATCACTACTTTATCTTGTAAAAATGTAACCACGAGGCTGAGATAAAAATTTCAGTAACAAAATAACTCACTCCTATTGACTATCACATGCAATTATATAAAAGTAAAGCATATGTACCATTAAACATAACATATGTCACAAGTTTTAATTTTTTTTAATTTAAAATAGCCACATTAGATGTGGCAAGTGATGTGGCGAAGTATGTAGGTCAAATAACAAAGGTTAATGGTCAACGTAGGCTTTCTATCACAACAAGGCAAAATTGTCCTATTTTTAAAATGTTAGGATAACATTGTGTGTTTTAAAACATTAGGATACCAATTGCCCCTTTTTAAAAATGTCTAGGGTAGATTTGTATTTTAGTCTAATAGAATATTAGAAAAGTAAAAAAAATTATAAAAGTTAATTTTTTTAAAAAATATGTTTTGTCATCTATAAAAAATAATAAAATAAAATTAATATATAAATATATTTTGGACAAGACTAGATGTCTGGATGCTCAGCCCGAGTCCCATTCTGTCTGGACACCATTTTTATCCCTGTCCCATTATGTTCAACATAATGATTCAAACAGATTTTTTTTTTCTTTTTAAAATTTTTTCTGAAAAACTATTCTATAGAATTGTTTTGAGAACATAAAAATAGAAACCAGAATCAAACAAGCCCTAAAATTTTATGTTTTTATTTTTTAAATTTAAACTATTTTTTGAATGATTTAATAATTATAAAATTAAAATTATTTTGTATCATTCTTCATTTAAAGTGAAAATTTTAATAATATTTCGGCCGTGTTTCTTTTTGTTTTTGAACAAATCCCGAGCATCATAGGTTTGTATAGATATGTCCATTGCTTTATAAAAATAAGTAAATCAAGTGTCTACCAATGTGTAAGCAGCTCTGTAAAAAATACTATAATAAAATTTTTAATATTCATCATTACTTTTAAAATGAATTAAATAAGTGAATAAATTTAATGATATGAAATATAATATATAATTAGTGTTATGTATTATGAAAGGAAGTAACATTAAAAATCATATATCTAGTTAATTTTTAAAAATGAAATCACATGTTCAGAAAATATTAAACATATAAAACATCATAAAATTATAATAATAAAACACATTTAATGTCTTGAAATATTAAATATTGGATTCAAACAAAAAAAAAAGAAAAAAAAGTTGTGCGATGTGAAAATAGTAAAATTTTAATTCAAGTGATTTTTTCATGTGTGCACTATTAAATATTAAAATTTTGATCAGGCAACATTGGTACCGCCTTTAAAAAAAACCTTTGTTTTACTTTCTTTACTGTAATGATCAACTCTTGATGGTAGTATTCTCTTTTCCATGTTATTTATAAAACAATAAGTAAAATGCAAAAATAATAGAGTACTTTGGTCACCTTGTTTTTTTTTTAAATCTTTGTTTTACATTCAATACTAGAATGACTCTTAATGGTAGTGTTCTCTTATCCATATTAGATGACAACCATTGGAGAAAGTGTTGCAACAAATCTTGTCTAAATATTTGTGAATGCAACACTTAAGGAAGCTAGCTACTTATGTTGCTCCAAGACTCATGTTGAGAGCTTTAAGAAAAAAAAGACAAAATTGGAAGCAAAACTAAAAACAGTGCAGGAGAAGATTGAAGATGCCAAAAAAAGAAATGAGAATAAAGTTGTTGCTGAAGTTCAGCAGTGGATAGAGGAAGCTAATAGTGTCATTAAAACAGACATGAACACAAAGAAGAAATGGTTTTATGGTTGGTGTCCTAATTGCATTTGGCAATATAAACAAGGGAAGATGTTGGCAAATAAGATGATTGATGCTATAGATCTAATTGAAAGTTGTAAATTTGATAAAGTGGCATGTCTAGCTAAACATCCAGGCATAAGCTCCATTTGCGTACCAAATTTTATGGTTTTTGAAAGTAGAAAGTCAATATCCAAAGAACTTGTTAAAGCATTGATGAATGAAAACTGCTGCATGATTGGTTTGCAAGGCTTAGGGGGCACAGGTAAAACCACACTTGCAGCACAAGTGGGCGAACAAGTTAAAGAGTCCAAAGCATTTTAGGAAGTCATCTTTGCAGTTGTGCCTAATCCCTTAGATATTAGTGAGATTAGGCAAAGAATTGCAAGGCAATTAAATTTTTGATTGCCAGAAGGACAAGAAGAAGAGCATTTGGATATTTTATTGTCCAGAATTGCTAAGAATAAAGGGAAGATACTCATAATACTAGATGATGTTTGGGAAAAGCTAGATCTTAGAGGCATAGGGATTCCCGATGGTTGTGATCAAAAGAATTGTTGTGTTTTGATAACCACACGTGGTACCAATGTTTTGTGAAGAAATAAGATGCCATCTTATAATTGAACTACCACCATTAGATGAAGTGGATGCATTGAATCTTTTTAGAGAAAATGCTAGATTAGAAAGTGACGATTCTTCCAAATTGGATATGGCAAGAGAAATTGTGAAGGAGTGTGGAGGACTACCACTTGCAATTGTGGCAGTAGCAACGATGTTCAGAGGTTGGAATCTACAAGAATGGAAGAATGCTTTGAAAATCTTGCAAATCACTGAGTCATTGCTAAATCTTCATCAAAACTCTGGGCCATTGCTAAAGGTTTATAGAAGTTTGGCATTAAGCTATAATTATCTTGCGGTTGAAGCCCAATAACTCCTCTTGTTATGCTCTCTCTTTCCAAGGGATTATGAAATTCCTATATGCCTTTTAAGCAAACTTGGTGTAGGATTGGGCCTTTTTAGGGAAGTTGACAGCTACTCTTTAGCAAGAAGAAAAGTGGTTCCTATTAAAAGTGACCTTATTAAATCTTCTTTGTTATTGGAGTAAGGAAAGTTGTGTGAAGATGCATGACTTAGTTCATTGATGTGGCCTTACAGATAGCAAACAATGACATGCAAGTGATCATAAAGCCAAGGACAAAATTAAAGCCAAACTTGAAATTTTTTTTTTTTGGAGTAATAATGACTTTCCCAATTGTTTTGATGGTGCAAACCTTGAGATTTTGATACTTTGGATAAAAGGAGAAGTTAAGGTGAAAGACTCATCCGTAATATTTCATGAGATGAACAACCTTATAATTTTGTATATGCTTTACGATGAACCTAAGGTGTGTTTCAATCTATCAACACAGTCACTTCTTTCATTAAAAAATATCCGAACTCTCATCTTTGTTGGCTGGAATCTAGGTGACATCTTTATTTTGAAAAATTTGCAAAGTCTTGAGGCTTTTGAGCTGAAAAAATGTTTAATATTTGAATTACCAAGGGAAATTAGGGAAATAAAGAAGTTAAGATCATTGAGTTTAAGAAAATGTGAAATTGAAAACAGCAGTCCTTTTGAAGTGATTGAAAGATGCTCACAATTGGAAGAATTATATTTTGTTGAGAATTACAATGTCAAAGATTGGAAGCGGGGGGATGACAAAGAAATTGATGAGGAAATTGCTTGGCAAATGTATTCTATTGCTTTGCCTAGTTTTAAATATTTTGCTAATGATGGTAATGGCATGTCAAATTGCTTTAAACCAAAACTCATTAAAAATTTAATATCAGAAGCCATGTTAAAGTACTTAGTAGGAAGAGCAGAGGTTCTTGAGTTAGGGGAAATTGGGCAAACAGGATGGAAATGTCTAGTCCCTGACATTATTCATATGAAAGATAAGCTCATGAATAATTTGAGGAAGCTTTATTTGTATGAATGGGCTGACATCGAGTGCCTTATAGATGCTAGTAAGAATCATTCTTATTCTAATGTGCTAGCCTTTTCTAAGTTGGAAGAGTTGCATTTGGATGGTGTGGATGTAAAAGAATTATATCAGGGTGATGTATCTTCTAGCTTTATCAAGAAGTTGCAGATTTTAAAGTTAAAGAAGTGTAAGAAACTAGACAACATATTCTTAGATGAAAGTCTCAAACTACCTCATTTGAAGGTCTTGGGATTGCAAGAATGCCCACAGTTCCAACCATCAATTTTTCGACGCTCTATTGCTCAAAGTCTAGTACAATTGGAAGAATTACACATTAATAGTTGTGGGGAGCTGCAAAGTTTAATTGCATGTAGTAGTTTGGGAGAGGAAATAGTTGATGTTGATAATGAAAAGAGTTATGGATTATTGTTTCCAAAGTTAAAATCTCTTAAAATTCAAGGATGTGGCAAATTAGAAATGGTGTCATCATTCCTACCTGGAGACCTTCCCAAGTTGGAAGATTTATATGTACAGGATTGTGAGAATCTAAAATACATATTTGGTGAATATGGAGATATGGATCAAGTTTCACTACAAGAAACTATGCTCCCTTCACTAATAAAAGTGATTCTTGGTGGAGTACCAAGTTTCATTAGCATATTTGAAAAATGCAATAAATGTATGCCAAGGCCACTTGAAGTTTTGAAAGAAGATTCGAAGAATAAAGATGAAAGCTCAAGTAAAAGAAGTGCCTTCTCATGGGCTCATGAGTGTTGCTTTGGGGCTCCAATTAAAGATACTAATATTGTAGTTTCTAATGCCACACTAAAACCCAGCACAATCTCACAGGTATGCTACTCTGGTCTTGTTCTCTTTGTTCAACATATATGTTTATGCTTTATAATTTTTTTTTGGCAAAAGTGATATTTGATTAATTAAACTTTCATTTTAGACTATGCTACTTGAATGGTATATTTTTCTCTTTTAACGCATGTTAGATCTAGAGGGGAGATGTAGTCATAGAACTATTCTCAATTGATTGATTTTACTGAAATGAATTAATATTTTAAAGTTACAAGGAAGTTTTAGAAGGTTTTAGAGAAATGGGGAGATAAGAATGATAGGTCATATTTGTTTTTATTTATAGTCGCTTTTTTTATTGTCAGATTTGTGTAGCTAATAGTTAAGCAAAATGCCAGGAATGAGTTAGTTAAAACTTTATTGCCCTTGTTAAATAAACTACTACCATAATTTATAAGGAAATAGTTTGATTTGTTAGTTGAAATAAAACTTTTGGAATGCATTTTGTTTAAGAATTTATTTTTTCCTTAATTACATCAAAGCACGCACTAGCTAATTATACTAAATGAAATAACAGTTAAAATAAAAATTGATTTTCTTTAACACTTGGATGAACGATGTTAAGTGGTGGGTCATTGGTTATTCATTAGATCTCTACCTTTTGTGATGGTTGAATAAGTGATTTGTGGAATTCCTTCATCCTTTCAATGGCAAAAATAAATAAAAATAAAAATAAAAATAAAAATAAAAATAAAGGTGTATTTTTGCTCATGAAGTATTCTTTGATAAATACTCAGCATTGTAAACTATTGGTTGGAGCAATTTTGCTCTTAAAGTAATTTAAATAAAGCATTTGTGCCTTTACTGTTAAATTTCCAACATTGACCACTTGAAATATTAACCAAGACTTTAATGTTGACTGTTAGTGAATTGAATGAAAAGGAAAAAATACTCCCTCTGTTTAATAATGTAAGGCATTTTTAACCAAATCTCACCCCCTAATAAAGTAGTTACCTACTTTCCAACTAACCATATCTTTCCATATTTATCCCTATTAAACAGCCTACAATAAATATAAGTCATTATCAATAGGGGCACTTTTGAAAAAAAGGTAATGATTACACCTCAAAAAACTAAAAATGCCTTATATTTTTAACATCAAACTTCTCAAAAAATACCTTACAATTTTGAATGGAGGAAGTACTACGTTTTAATTATTTTAAGGACAAAATTACTTTAACCAATATTTTAAGGTGCTGGATGTTCCCTGGAGAATACTTTAAAAAAAAAATACACATTTACCTAAAAAATAATTCTGCTGTGCTATTCCTAAGATGGATATTCATTTTATTGTAAATTATTACTAAAATAAAAATAATAATTTGTGCACTTTTCATCGAAAAAGTTGATATCAATGTCATTCATTGTCTGTCTTTGGTGTCATTATTAAATTTTTAGCATGGTGAACTAGCACAAATTGTTGGTGAAAACTACACGAATTGCATGAGACTAATGTGTTATGGAGTGGCAGATCCAGTATCATAACAGTGGGGGGAAAACTTTTTTAATAAATAATAAAGATATTTAAAGAAATTACTTTAGTTCTTTATTTGTAACACTCATTATTGATATTTTTAAAAAATAATTAAATAATAATATTCTTTTATCTAGTTAAATCAAGACATGTGAACTTTAATTTGTTAATAATATTAATAACAAGAATTTGTTATTGAATAACTAATCTATAAAAACTACACATGTTTTGACTTAATTAAAAATAAATACCTTAAGTATATAAGGTTAAGTATATAAAATTTTCTCTAAGTGATACATTCTTTAATGTTTATCATGGATTAAGGTCCATTTTTCTCCATGAACTATTTTTCTAGGAACACTTAATGTTTTAAATTCTTTTTCATAGTAATGTCATCCTTGAAGTTATTAAATTGTATCAATGTTGCCCTTGATGTTAAATGGGCAAACATTGATGGTTAACTTTGCTAACTTAAAAATAAGCTAAGTTCAACTTAATTCATAACAATGTTGCCTTAAAAGTAATTAAAGTGAAGCAATGTTGCTCTGGTGTTAAGTCTGAGTCAACAAAGTTAACTTAACACTTGCCCATTTAATGTCAGGAGTAACATTGCTATATGATTTATTTATTTTAAGATCAACATTGCTGGAACAAATAGTTTAGAACATTGGGTGTTCCTATAGAAATAGTTTAGGGGCAAAAATGGATCTTAACTTTATTTTTTTTTTTGTTACTATAATTTTATGCATTGTTTCTTGTGTATTTAGTTTCAATACATTATTGCTTCATAGTGATTTAATTAATATTTAAAATAATATGTTTTTTAAATTTAGTATTTACGTGTAGATTTTGCTCCACTAAGTAATTTTTTTTACTCTACTGTCCCTTTATGATAGAAAGGTCTTTAAATATATATATTTTTGAAAGTCTTTAAATATATTTGTAACCAAGTAAATATTTTAGTTGATACCCTGCATCTCATTTAATTCCGTCTTGAGTTGTTACATACATACATACATACATACATACATATTATATATATATATATATATATATAATATGTTAAAAAACATAAATTATGCTCTTTTTGAATATTAGTTTTCTTTTAAATTATTTTAGTTTATACCCTACAAAAGTTAAACTAAAACATCTCGTTTACATCAAAATCCTTAATTTGATCTGTAATTGGTTCAAAATCTCTATTTTATATTAATTATTTTGAATATTTAAATAAGTTTACTCATATTTAGATACCGTTATTTTTTTTTTGTTGAAATTAGACATCTATCCAGGATTTTTTTTTTTTTTTTTGCCTCTGGGTTTGCTAGTGACTAAAGTAGTATGCTACAAATAGATAGTGTTGGGATTGGTGGATTTGAATTTATATTTTAAATTTAAAATCTCACATTACAAATTTCACATTTAAAATTTAAATATTTAAATTTTTTTGTTTGGATAGTTTACAAATTTCAAATTTAAACATAGTAATAATGGGCGAATCATTAACTTAGCGAAGGATTTTAGTTAATAACTGCTTAATTATATGTGACGTTTTTCATTTTTTTTATTATTTGACTACAAGCATGGATGCGAATGTTTAAGTCCAACGGGTATCTCATTAATTTAACACCTTGTAAATTACATCATAACTGCCCCCAATCTTATAAATGAAAATGTATAATATATTATTCTTGACACATTTATTTTGTATTTCATGTATTTTACGATCCAACATATCTTTTGGTTCATTGATGCTTTTAATCAGATTTTTTATTCAGATGTAGGACTAAATGATATAAAGAAAATAAGTATATAAATGTTGAATATAAGAATCATGCTTTTACTAATTGATTGGTTGTACAGGAATTCTGTGCATCAAGCAAAAGGATTGACACATTTTATACAGCTGAGTGTCTTATGAGACAACCATTAAACCTACAAAATATACACTATTAGAAAAATACAAATTAGCGAGGAAATTTAGTGAGGGATCATCTATTCCTCTCTAAAATACCAAGTTAGTGAGGAAATTAGCGAGGGATGTTGATTTCGTAGCTTGACTTAAAATTAGCGAGGAAATTAGCGAGGGATTGTCAATCCCTTTTTAAAATAAGAGAATTAGCGAGGAAAATAGCGAGGGACTGTCAATCCCTCTCTAAAATAAGATAATTAGCGAAGGATTCTATCCCTAGCTAATTATTACAAAAAAAATTACTTTTTAACAATGACTTTTAATTATACATTTAATTATTTTCATTTAAAAATAATAATTAAATTTAAAAATTAACTAAAATATTCATAATAAAATTATTTAATATTTTCTTTATTTTAAGTTGATTTTCATTAATAAAATAATATTTTATTAAAAATATAATATAAAGAATAATTTAAATAAAATATAAATATTTTTAACATATTAATAATTGAAAATAAAATTTAATATGTATATGTGTGTATTTTTATAATATATTATTTGATATATTTATGTAGTTAAATAATATATATATATATATATATATTTAATTTATCATATAATGCTTGTAGGTGCCTTTCAGTTCAACTGGCAAAGAAGGAGAGCATAAAGCTTGGAAGATATGAGGTCAAGGGTTCAAACCTTGGCTTTGGCATAAACATGATGAATATATGATATGGTAAGGAGCAAGTGACATAGCGCAAGGTGGACAATAACGTGTCATGAGTTGTCGCACATGTAGTGGGTGATAGGGCACGAGATGGTAGGTGACATGGTGGTTGACAAAGCATGAGGTTGTTGATGACATGTCATAAATTGACATCACACATGGCGGGTGATGTGGCATAATTATTTTTAAATATAAGCATATTTAGCGAGGGATTCAGTCCCTAGCTAATTTTAGCGAGAGATTGAATCCCTCGCTAATTAGTAAGGGAAATACAATTCCTCACTAAATTTAGCGAGCTTTTTTTTAGCTACGAATTTAGCACAAAATTCGTAGCTAAAATGCAATTTAGCTACGAAAAATGGCATTTAGTGAGGGATTTGTCCCTCGCTAAATTTAATTTTTCTAGTAGTGATAAGGCGGATGACACTTTCGAGATGTTCAAAATTAAAATCATTGTTCAATGTATCTATTGCCACAACCATCATGTTGGAGCAGTTGGGCATTGATGAGTGTGAAGAATTGAAGCACATAATAACAAATGAAGTAGAGGATGATGGCCATCCCAATTGTACCTCCATTTTCTCAAAACTACAGCGGCTCAAAATCTGGCGGTGCAAGAAGTTGGAATTTATATTTCCATGCACTTTTTTTGGAGGTCTTCAAAAATTAAAATCTATAGAAATCTATGAAGCCCATGAACTAAAATCTGTTTTTGGAAAATACCATGAAGAGTGCCTATCAAATGAGAATGAATACAAGGATCTCCACATTGATCTTCCCTCATTGGAAACGCTATCCCTTGAAGGTGTACCAAATATGAGGAGCATTTGTATCAAGGATTATCAACTGGAATGCACATCTCAACAGATTATGGAAGTACAAAAGGTAATAACACTTTTTAACTTGTTATTTTAGCATGTCAACCTTGTTCTATTTTCTGTTGCAAAAATATATTATATTGTTCTAGTTATTCTCTCTTATAATTTCAATTTTTGAATTTTTATAGATAATTAATTTGAGTTAAGCGCATTGCAATCTATGACAAAACATTCAATATCCTAATTTTGTTATGGATAATATAAGAATATACTTTTCTAGGAAAAAAAATCATCTGTCAGGTCAAACTCCGTACACTAGATATTGAAAGTTAATTTGGATATCTTTAAATGTGCCTTTTTCCGGTAAAAAAAAAAAAAAATCAGTAGATGTGCCTTTTCTGTTCCTTTTTTTTTTTTGTGTGGTTAAAATATGAACATATGCGGACAAGATTTCACTTCGGTGTGATGTTGAATGGCAATTTTTTAAAACTTAAAAGGAAACTAGATGGGAAGAATACGGAAGATGTGACAAGTGAAGGGGTAAAGGAAAACAAAAAGTTTAGAAATGTGTGATCACTGTGGAATTAGTTAATGTGGTTGAAGATGATTCTAATGACCATCAAGTGAACCATGTAGCTCCATTTCCCAAAAACTGAAGCATCTAATAACAATCTGGAATTGCAACAAGCTGAATGTTGTTGAGGATGATTCTGAAGATTTTATACAATGAATGATTGTTAACAAAATATTTAAACATTTTCAAGACAATGAAGGCTTTCAAAGCGATCCAGCTTTATCTTTATACAGATTTCAAGTTTAAATTTAAATTAAATATTTCACAAAAGTAGAACAAAATTCTAAATTTTTTGGCTCAAAATATACAGAATTAGTTCGAAATGATTTTCCTATCTATGCACGTGAATAAATTCATGTCAAAATAATTATTTTTTTATTTAAATTGATTTAAATTTTCATAATTATTTGACTATGATATGATAATATATATATATATATATATATTATTTATATATATGTATGTATGTATGGGTTCTCTATAATTATTAAGTCCTGCCAACACATGCAATATCATTATGAATTTTTTTTCATAGATAATATATATAAGAATATACCTCTCGTGACAAACCTTCATAGGTCAGGTCAAAGTCTCCTCACCAGATATTGAAAAGTCAGTTTTTGAATATTGTTATATCATTAGATAATTTTAATAATATTAATATTATTTTGATATTTGCAAACGTATTGTGTTTATTTATCTTTTTTGTTAAAATATGGCAATATTGAATTTCTCTAAAGTGAGATGCTGAATTTTCACTAATATTTACGAAGATTTCAAATTTAAAATACTTCGCAAAAGTAGAGCCTGTTTGCTGCAGTTTTGTGTGTGACAGGGTGTGTGTGTGTATTTATCTCACACTCACAAAATATAACAACATTAAATATATAAAATTTGTTAAAAAAAATTTCTTTGTATACATACAAGTCAATAGATTAATTTATGTCAAAAAATCATTTTTATATTTAAATTTAAAATTATTTGACTATGGTGTGTGTGTGTGTGGGGGGTTATCTATTTATTAATTAATATGAGCACATGCAATATCATACAATTTTTCATTGATGAATTAAGAATGATTTCCGTGACAAAAAATCATCTGACTAAATATTGAAAAGTTAGTTGGATATTGTTTTATCATTAGATAAGTTTGTTGATGTTAATAATATTTGATATTTGTAAATGAGTGTATTTTGTACATTAATTCTTTTTTTTTTGGTTAAAATATGATGATACTGAATTTGCATTGTTATTGAGTTTCACTAAACTAGAATGTTAAATTTACATTTCTATCAATCGGAAAACTTGTAGGAAATTGAGGAGCATATGGAAGATGTCGCAAGTGAAGCAGCAAAGGAATCTGAAGTACAGGAGATTGTGAATGTTGACAGACCACTCATCCCAAGTGTGGGCACCCAATATTTTCTCAACTTCAGCAATCTAAAAGAAATAAGAGTAAGGAGAAACAAAAAGTTGAAAACTCTGTTCTCTGTCTCTGCATGCCGAACCCTATCACAGTTGTCCAAGTTGGTTATAAGGGACTGTGAGGAATTAGTTAATGTTGTTGAAGAAGATTTTTTTAGTTCCATTTTCCCAAAACTGGAGCATCTAAAAATTAGGGAGTTCAACAAGCTGGAGTTTATATTTCCTTTCTCTCTTCTGAATGTTTTTCAAAAATTAAAATATTTGAAAATCTGGGAAGCTACTGAGTTGAAATACATTTTTGGAAAATATCATGGTGGAGATTATTTATCAAATGAGAATGAAAGTGATGAGCATCATATTGATCTCCCAGCTTTGGAAACACTGATACTTAAAGATGTACCAAAGATGATCAATATTTGTGCAAAGAAGTATCATTTGGGTTTGCCATCTCTACAACGTATCCATTTGGATGGTCAAGAGTTCAGCGGAAGATCTTTTCCCGATTTGATGGCTTACTTACAAGGAATACGATTGAATGTGAAAGCTCCAGAGGTAACACATTAATTTGAGTGACTTATTGTTCTATAATATGCATTTACTATGTTTATTTGATCCTTTTTAATTTCTTGGAATTTTTCTTTTTGTTACAACGGATTGCTTAGCATTTAAAGTTAAACATCAAGAATATATTTTCTTACATAAAAATTTGTCATGTCCAGACATGAAATTACTAAATTTTCATACATAGATATTTTATAATTTAGTTTTCATTTAAAATTTGTTTGCTTCAATATATATATATATATATATATATGCGCGCGTGTGCCTTTAGTCAAATTCTTAAAGGTAGATGTCGTTAATTGAGAAAGTAATTGATAACCTTAAATTAAATAAAAAAAAATTCTACTAAATAGTTTTAAAAGAAAGACGCACCATATGTTTACCAATATGGGCAATTAAAAACGGATCAGCTTCTAAAGTACATAGACATTATATAATATCAGGTAGATATAATTAAGCATAATCCATGTCAAAATGTCCCTGTAAGCGTTCCAGGCATCAATAAATTATTAACTTTCTCTCTTCATAATCTTTATTGAGACATTCATTAATCATAGTACATATTGGGAATTTGCACAATTCATGAATGCGACAACTTGAATTCATACTGAAATTTTGAATTGATATATTTTTATTAGGACTTGATGAAAATTATCAAGGATATGCAGAAGTTGACATTTCTTGGAGTAAGCAACTACAATATAGATGTTCTTAATTTGGAACCGGAAATTGAAGCTTAGAAGCAATGATTTTGGAAAATCTGAGTGAGTTGTGGCATATATGTAAGGGTCCCAAATATATTTTGAGCCTCCACAATCTTTGCCACCTACATATCAAAGCATGTGAGAAGCTGAGAGCAATCTTCTCTGTCTCAATATCAAAAAGCCTCCCACAATTATCCTCATTAAGGATAAGTGATTGTAATGAATTAGTTGACATCATTGAAGAGAGTGCTGAGGATCATTTGCATCAACTCTGCTTCCCAAAGTTAGAACAAATTGAGATCAAGTGTTGTAACAGATTGAAATGCCTTTTCTCCATCTCAACACTTTCCATGTTTCCAAAGCTGCGGGAATTGGAAATAGAAGAAACCTCAAAGTTGGAGCAAGTATTTACGTGCAAACAGAATGATACAGAAAACATGGTGCTGGAAGATGTGTTCCCAAATCTAAGGACAATAACACTCAAAAGTTTGCCAATGCTTGCTACTATTTGTAGTGGGATCAATTTCCAAAATGTGCGACGTCTTATTAAAGTAGATGATTGTCCCAAATATCATCAAGGTTTGAATTTGAAAAAGATTACTTCTCACAATTGTTAGTTTAAGACTGTAAATATTCTATTAAAATTAATATAATATCAAAAAACCCATTGCAGAAATTACTTCTCAACTGCAAGGACCTTCAAATTTGGATTCAAAAAATAAAGAAAAAACGGAGGAGCAACTCTTTGTCAATTCTGATAATGCTCAGGCTGTGCCATATATGGGAGAAACAAGTGGTTCATCATCAAATTTAGCAAAGGTATGTTAGACTGATAATTATATGAAGAAATCAAATTTTTACTGTTGATCACTCAGATCTAAATGTGCTGGAATTAGTGAGATTAAATTCCAATTTTAATAAACTAACAATTTCTGTCTTCTGTTTTGCTACTCCTTCTATCTTTATATATAAGATATTTTTTAACTAATGAATCTTGCTTACTAATAAAAGTTTGTTGTTTAATTGAAAACACAAAACCATAACAATTTTTCTGCTTTGCCCTTAATAATGTTACAGTTAATATCACGGTGGTGGTAAAGCATATAGTTAATATATAATAAGGGCAAAATTATTTAATTATTCAAAAATATTATGACACCTTTTATATTTAGAAACAAAATAAACTTTTTGAAACTATGTATAGGGATGGAGAGAGTAATGAATCAAACTCTTTCAAAAATATATTTTACACATCTAATTTGTTTATTTCTTATGATGGTTGTAAAAATTCTTTGGAAGAAATGAAAAAAATTATTGAAAAAGCTTCTCCTTCTTTTAACTACATACTTGCAAATGGAGATTTAATTCAATAGTTCATATATATTATTCAAAGCATGAAAAGGAAGCTAATTTTAATAGAAGATGTGGAATGGAATAACGATTTTAGTCGTGCTTATTAATTGGAACATAGAAAAGAACAGGGGCATTCTGTTGAAGGTACCAAACAGAATAAATAAAGGAATATGCCACATGACTTGGACTATTTTTTTTATATCATTAATATGTACTATGAAAGATTTTGACAGAAATTTTAATTAACATGCTTATAATAACTGACCTCAACTCATTCTGAGATCTAACGTTAATTATTGAAGATTTGAACAAAAAAAAAACAACACTTGTAATATGTAAGAATGTTGTTGAGTTGAATATTCTAGACTCATGTGCACATAAAAAATCTAGCAAAATTAATCCATGGATAAAATGCATCTTTTTGATATTGTAGATTAAGGGAGAAACATTAATGGAAGTTCAAGCTAAAGACCCTACTCCATCTTTAGAGAAACATGCATCAAAAACTTCAGCAGCTGAATCACAATTGAGAAGGACATATGTAGATGTTAGTTTATAGATTATTTAAGTAATTTCAACATGATAAGAAGTTCCATCTCAAATTAGTCAAAATGATTTTTGGCTAATTATTTAATATTCCCAATAGGAGTTTGACGATGAACGTGAAACAAGCAATTCGACTATGCAGCTCCAACATGAGGATCTTGCAGAAGCAAAATCCACCATTAAAGCTTCTCATAAGACTAATATACCATTTGATGATGATGTATGCTATAGCATAGAAAGACTATTTATTCTTAAGTTTTATCAATACAAGATATGATATCTTATTAGTTACAGTGATGTGCTGTTCAGAGTATGGGTCCCATAATGCAAGAAAAAGTTCAAGAAGGTCCTATCTCAGAGGATGTAGTGGTAGCAACTATGGTAGCTGAGTTGGCAACAAGAAACTCATCTTCAAAATTGATCACTCCTCTCCAACAAGAGATCTCATCTTCTGCAAAACATGTACCTTTTTCTCTATTCATTGCTTCTTTTAGGATTTGATGCTGTTGGAATCAAGAAGAAAAACAATCAGAGAAAAGATAATTGTTGTATATTTGAATTCTTCACCAAATATTAAAGGATCTAAGAATTCTAATAAAACAACTTGATGCTTACATATCTTTTGGTACTTTCCTAGAATGTTTCTTAAAGCTTTCCAGAAGATACCTCAAATAAGAAAACTAGAATGGTTGCTACCTCTGTTCTTGGTGAAGAAACAAAGAAGGATATTAACAGAGTAGTTGATCCTGATCTTGCTTCAAAGTTACTGGCAGCAACTTCATCTTCTTTTCAGGTGATCAAAATGGAATCTCTTACCTCTTTATATATATATATATATATATATATCCCATCACATGAAAAACTTGCAATTTTTTTTTTTTTTAAATGGATTCGTTAAAACTATAAGGTATGTTAGACTAACTCTTCGATGCATACTTATATTTGATATACAACAAACAAGGACTGAACAAAATCTAGTTATATCAATTGATGAAGTTGCTTTATTAAACAAATGCTATCATTAATGATTTATTCAGAGCATAGAAACAATGAAAGTAAGTTGTAGGAATAGCAACGGCTTCAGAGTCAAAACTGATCAAAATGACATCTCCAAGCTCCTTTATCTCTTATTTGAGAATGATGCAAAAATAGTTGCACATGTTATTTGACAAAACTTGTTAATGACTTGATCATAGGGAGTAGCCTGTATATCCCCTTTGATGTTTACTCCCTGCTTCATAGTTATCCAATTTCAATAAGAAAAACAAATTTACTTCTTGTCACTTGAATTTGAATGTGTTGGAATTTGTGAACTTGAAGTTCAATTTCAATAAACTATTTTGTTTTCTTTTTCTTTCTCTGCGTATCCTTTGTTTTCCTAACAACAAATATTCCAAACGATATATCCTGCTGGAACTTTATTTTTTGTTATTTATAGTCTCATTGTTATTTGAAAAGGACTTGAATATTGGATTTAGAAAATATGTGCGTCTTGACGATGTTATCTTAGTGAACTAATTAGTTATGTCTTTCAGTTTGACTTGGAACTATGAAGAAACAGAAAAGGAAACCAGCAAAGAAGTAGCTTAAAGAATAGTTCAAACTTTAAATTTGAGGATAAAAAGCCTTTTTTATGTATGTGCATAATTCATGTCCTGATTCTTCCTATGCTTTAAACCTCTCGCCAAGAAAACTGGCTTTCATTTTGTTTAGCCATATGATATTGCATAAAGTTAATCGAATAATTTTTTTAAAAAATACTAATCAAAATTATAATGAGTAATAGTATATGATATTTGTAAAATCATTACTTCCTGGAAATATCAATTCAAAATTGAGGGTTCACAATTTAAACTTAAAGCATGTTTTCATACATGATGAAAACTTAGATATTAACTCTTGTTTTTATTCATAGAAGAGCTCCCATTGGTTATATATTGGCTAGTGTATCTTCTACCATTTTCTAAATAAAGGATTAAGAATATACTAATTAAATGTCTTAAACTTGTACAATTTTCTATATTCATTATATGTTTTAGGATTTGTTGAAGACAAAATCAGGAAGAGAAACAATCATGGCAAACCCAGAGGAACTAAGAGCAATGGCTACTTTTAGTGTAATTCAGAGTTATAGGGAAACGGAGAAGGAAGTTGGAAAAGTAGCTCCTACTTCAAAGTTACCATCAACAACCCCATCTCATTATGATGTGAAATTTTTGTGTTTATTCTTTAATTTGTTTTGAAGAGACCATTTCTATATGCAAACATTGTTGGAAGAATAATTAGTCAAATAGAGTATACAGAGATAAATTACATTGCATGAATTCATGAACTTGTTTGATTGAACAAATTTTATCATGTTTATGTTATCCAGAGCTCAGAAACAGGAAAAGAAGCTGTTCATATGGTCCTTACTTCAGGGTTATCAGTGGCTACAACTTCATCAAATTTAGAGGTTGCAAAAGTTAAAACTGACAATTTTTTTTTTTTATGACAAACATCCAATGGCTGAACCACAAGCACTTGCCTAAATATTGGAAAAAATAACAACTATTATATACTCTCTTTTTAAAAAAGATTTAAGGATCAAAGGGTTTTAATTAAATGATCAAATACTTACATGTTCCTGCTGTATTGGTACAGAGTAGAATTGAAAGTATTCCTGAAGACACTACACCTATGGAAGATAAAATAGATGCTTCCTCAATTAGTTCACAAGCAGAAGGATCCCCATCAAGTCCATCGGTAAATGTAAGTTTATTTGTAGTGTTCATATTAAAACCATTAATTACATCTATATTTTTTGTTATTTATACATTTAAATTGTTTCTTGGAAAATAATTGAATATAGGATGAGTAAGATCAATTAATTAATGAATTGTTGCACTAGTGAACCATTCAATTATTTATTATATCCTTAGGTATCACTCCAATTCATAAAGAACTTGTAGAGGAGGTTGGCGATTATAGTTGTGAAGATTTGATAAAAGATATTGAGGATAATAAAAATGTTTACTCCTCAAGTTTGTCTCAATTATTTATTTGATCCCTAGTCTATACTTTATCGATTTGGTCTCTTATATTTTTTAAAATTATCATATTATAAGTCTTTTAAGTTTTAAAACACAAATTTACTCTCACATTAATCTAACGCGTAAAGTGTTTTGATGATTTGATATGCATATGTAACTAATTGAGAACAACTTTACCCTCAAATTATTTTAATTTTTTTCTAGTAATCTAGTCCTTTAGAATTTTGTCTTTTTTTTAATTTTTGAGCATGATTTTTAGATCTAAATAATTATATTCATTCATTTACATGGTTGTCATCAATATTTCATTATTCATGTTAGGAGATTTTAACAATGTTACTTCATATTTAAATGATAAGAACTAAATTGATATAACTAAAATAAACTTAAGGGACCAAATTAATAAAAAGTAAATTTGAAGGATCAAGTTGATAATTGAAACAAACACAAGCATACATCACTTAGTTATAACAGATTAGTTGTCACGCCCCAAAAATAGAGGGTGACCGGCACAGGTGTGAACCATTCTCACATTCCTGTAAGCCTCCAAGTGAATGTTTATTTCATTTTTTTTCAAGAAAAGAATAAAATTCCATCAAATCACATGAGAATTAAAATAACTTTTTTAAATTCATTATCATAAGAAAGTGTCGACGTTTTTGTAGAAATTTCGGCAGAACCTTCCCTGTAACTAGGATCTCCTGAAAATTCTACAACAAATTTTTTTACAAATAACAGTATAAATCAGGAGCGTAGCTCCTTCTAGCCAGCAACCAATATACAAACAAAAATAAGATTCATCAACAACCTATATGGAGCATCTACTCTTTCTTTCAAATCAAAAAGACATACAAATTATATATTTACATTAAAGCAACAATACCAATCAAAATGTCCACCCACTATAGCTATTTTTCCTTTTTGAGGTCGTTGGTGGAATCGGCGTCAGCTAACCTATCTGAGGCCAAATAATTTTTTTTTCCAGTGAATAGCATTCCCATGATAAAATTTTTTAAAATTTAAATTGACAATCTCTAATAATGGTGTCAAGAAATTGAAAGTAATTCTACCAAAATTTATAAAAGCATGTAAGTCATAATCATATTTGTAAAATAAGAATGAATTACTAGTCAAAATCAGGTAAAATTTGAAAACACATATTAATTAACATTTAAATTTCTGAGAACTCAACGGAACAGGTTACAAACGTGAACACATAGTTCACGAGGGTAAATAACCAAATGCGGCTTATGCCACGAAAACAAATGCGGACACATCAGTCCACGAGGGTAAGTAACCAAACGCAGCCGAAGCTATGAAACAAACATGGATACACAGCTCACAAGGGTAAGTAACCAAACGCGACTCAGGCCATGAAATCAAATGCGGGTACGAAGCCCACGAATACCAAACATGAGAATAAAACTCACAAAACAAACTAGCTAGTATTTAACCACAGCGCGCTACAGGCTAATGAAACTGCCGTTAGCAACAGTGTTCTGTTTGGAGTCCTCTCAAAAATCGTGTTTCAAACATGCGAGAAAATAATTACTTCTGAAATATAATCAACGTTTCCAATGCTAAACTCACACGTATCACTTTAAATTTTAATTTAAAACCTGTTGAAAATAGTCTTTCATAAAATAATATACGACCTTGCGTTATCTAAATAATCAAGGATTTGGAGTTTAATTAACCAAATAATTCCACAAATCTTTAAAACATATTCCCTGAGGAAATAAATGCATATATCCTCCTTTAAACGTCTCGCATCAATATCATAAAGTTTCAAAACTAATGTAATTCACAAGAATAAAATATCTCAATGAAAATTTGTTAAAAATAAAAGTACCCATAAAAATAAATTAAAGGGAATGCTATTCACTTACTCGTCAGAAACTTCAAATTCTTAAGGATATCCCTTTTTTAATTCCGATAAGCTCTCGTTCTTCCTCACCCCCTATCAGGATAAAAATAATTTCATAGATTTCTAATCTTTAGAAACAATTCCAAATTAACCATCCTCATCTAAAATTTAAAGCCAAATTTATGATTTAAAATTGATCCAAGTATCATCACTAATTCAATCACTTTCCTTGGTTATACAACTACAATATCCATTTAATTTAAAACACTCCTTTTTATGTATGCACCTGTAATCACAAGGAAGGATGAATATCTTAAAATTTTAACCCCCAACCCACATTTATCATATATTGTCACTAAATTCAGATGGGTTCCTTGCTTAAATTTTTTTTTTCTCCTCTCTACATAACAGTATAGGTGACAGCAGAAAAATCTGAAATTTCCATGACTTACACATAACCGAGCAATAATAGCAATGCACACACACTATCCTCTGCGTTTTCAGCACACACACACACAGCACTTATATTCTCACACACAGCAACAGAAGCCTACGTTCACAACCCAGCAAAATTAATGATACAAGGATAGAAACTTGAAAATCCCTCACCTTATCAACACCATAGACCGAGAGAAAAGAAAATAGGGATGTTGAGTTTATGGCTGAACAGGGGAGAAGACAAGCAGCACTGTCACCGGGCACAGTAGGGGAAGGAAG